TTCCCCTGGTAAATAAAGTCCCTTCTTACCCTGAATTCAGTCTCGCTCAGATTATAAGCCCTGGGGTTTTCCTGGGGAGTTTAAGGAAAGGCATCCCTGTGAATCGGCTCGTGGACCCGCTGAGGCTGGCATCGAGGTGGACCCCCAGCCTACCCCTCCCCAGGCAGGACAGGCCAATGCCTTTTCCCTCCCTCTCAGGCATGTGTTCACCCTCCTTGTGGCCTCTGTGGCTCTGCGTGGTGTCTCGCCAGCTTCTTGTGACCACACGTGGACCTGCTGAGGGTCTGGTCTCACTGTGGTGGAACCGCGGGCTATGCCCTGGCCGTCCCCACACGGCCGAGTCTCCCCGCTACCTCCATCCCAACCTGTGTCCATGGGGCCATGATGCAGTGGGAGGGTGGCTCTCCCAGGGCATTAATGTTCCTTGATTTTATGTCCCTGAGGGCTGGAGCTGTTGCTGTGGGATGAGGAGGCCAGCCAGGTCTCTCTCTAGACTGACACCACAGGTCACCCAGTGGCAGCTCTGTCCCTCACATCCCAGGGTAGGATTTCACGAGCGGCTGTAATGAGCTCCTAGGATTTCCTGCGAGCTGAACTGTGCCAGGTGCTGAGGAGGCACGTCGCGGAGTCAGCTCCTTGAATCCCCACGACACCCAGAGGCGTGGGCTCCAGTGTGATCCCCGCTTTCCAGGTGGGGAATCCCAGGACATTGACGGGCTCTGGGCTGTGTTGGCGCAGTGCCACACTGACACCGTCATCTTAAAAAACACGTAAAAAAAATCACTGCTATTTGCCCTTGAGTAGTGAGGAAGTAAGGGCCATTCCCGAAGCATAGACAGAAAAACTGAGTCAGACGTGAACAGTGGGTCAGGCTGGCCATCCTGCCTCCCTCCACCCGAGCCTGGCTGGCTGAAACCTGAAGCATCTTCCCAGGGTATTTCCCTCTTTCTGGATATCTCTCTTCAGTATACCCACTTATCTGATCTTTCCTTCCTTCTGTTTTTATCCATCCATCCATCCATCCATCCACCCATCCATCCTCAGCTCCTCTTGGAGATAAATCCTTCCACCAAGGCTCCTCCTGGCCTTGCAGCTCACACAGAAGGAAGTGCTCCTTGAGGGGATGTCACATCCTTGGGTGACTCCTCTCCCTGGATATCTCTCTTCAGTATACCCACTTATCTGTCCCGCCCCCAGGCACACCGTGAGTCTGAGGTGATTCCACCAGAGAGGCCTATCAGAGTTAAGTTTGAGCAGAGGGATGTGCATTTTTTTTTCCCCGCTTCTGTACTTGAAGGTGGTCTTGCCAACTATGTGCTATCATGGATCTAGGCTGCTTCTAGCTTATTGATCTGCTTGGTGTCATTTCCATTTCCAAGGTCACTCCAGCCACTGGAGCTCCAGTCAGAGGTAAGGAGAAAGAAAAGAGTGAAGAAGGGCCTGCCTCTTCCCTTTAAGGGAAACTTCCTGGAAATCACGCACAGGGCTTCTATCCCACGGGACACAAGTCTGTCCTCCAGCCCCGCTATGGCCCAAGGGAAGCTGGACCATACAGTCATTCCCACGGGGGTCTTGCTGAAAACTGGGAAAAGAGGGATGAATGGAGGTTGGGAGACAGTCTGCCACCAGGGCCTTGGTACCTTTATTCTACAGCTGGCAGAGGGTGGGTGAGGGCTTCCTAACTCCCTTTCTCAAACAGCTCTGCTTCGCTGCCTTCCCTGAAGCCTCAGTTCTTCCTGAGACTTGGCATTTCCTATCCAGAGCAGCTAAGGGCAGCAAGACCGCTTGCCATGGACCTCTGTCCATCCATTGCCAGGCCAGGGCACTCATTCTCAATGCCACCTGGGAGGCAACTCGTCTTAGTCCCATTTTACAGTTGGAGAAATTGAGGCTCAGAGAGGTTGGGTAACTTTCCTAAGAGCACCCATCTGGGTTCTGAGCTTAGTTCCTCTGTGTTCCTTTCTCACAGAGCCTTCCCAGAGGAGTTCCTGCCCTGGGCCCTCTTGGGATCTGCCAGGAGGAACTGGAATGGCTGGGCTCCAGGAGGGCTTGTCTGGGAGGAGAGGGCAGGCGGGCCGTGACATCAGTCCGCAGGTGTCTCCTCAGCACTTACTCAGTGCCATGGTCAGCGGACGTGTCTGAACAGGGTCTGCTGACGGGCTTGGGGATTTCTGCTGGCGCCAGGAGCTGGCCACTGCAGCCACATCCTCAGACGCCACTTTCTCCGGCATGTGTGTCCTGGATCTGGGGGGTGAGGAAGGGCAAGTATAGGGCACCCTCTGCCACTTCCCCTCTCTTGCTCCTAACCATCTTGCCCAAGCCCAGGCCCCAAAAAGACTGCTTTGGGGAGGGCGGAGAGGGAGGGTGTGTAACCAACTCTGAGGAGAAGGGGCAAGACTCTGGACTTTTCAAGCAGACCAGGGTCATCCAGGCCATCCCCCTGCCTCTGGGAAGGGTTGTCCTCACTTGCTGTTGACCCAGGAGGGTGAGGTCACTGCTCTGCCCGGTGTCGGGGGAGGTACTCTGAGCGTAAGCACTGTGGTCACAGACACGACATGAGGTTAGTAACGTTACTGTAATCTCTGCTCCCCAATCTCTGGCCAAGAGGAAAGGCTCCTGAGCAGTGAGTCACAGCTGGCAGCCGACTGCAGGGTAGGCCACGTGCGACTCCAGGGGGGTGTGCTGGGGATGGCCCTGAGACCCAGACATGACCTCTGGCCTCTGGGACTTCCCACAGGAAATAGGTGATGAACAGGAAGAGCCGATTTGAGCCTACAACCCTGCCTCCGCTCCCCTCCGACTTCCCTCTCACCTCCACTGGGAAGTCTTCCTTGGTTAACAGCCCTGGGCTCGCTCTGGGGTGGACTATGGGCTCCCAGCTTTGGCAAGGTTGGTTCCATTCCACCAAGTCTGGGTACCTACAGGTTCTGTGCTAGGAGCAAGGGTGTGGGCAGGAAGGTGGAACTTTCATTCAAGTCATTCATTCATTCATTCTTTTGACAAATGTGCCAGGCGCTCTGTAGGTGAACACTACAGACTCAGTTCTGCTCTCCCAGAGCCTGGAGGAGAGACTGAAAGCAGACAATCACACAAATAAAAAAGAATTATAAACTGGACCCAGGGAGGGCAGGGTCTGGAGGTGAGGGGGTGGGGATTAGGGGGCTTCTAGGGGCTTGGGCCATTCCCGGCGGGCGCAGATCCCTCCTGGGAGCCCGCCCCCACCGAAGAGGGTTCTGCAGGGAGATGGCTGGCTGACACGGTGGCACGGTGCCCGCCAATGGGGGCCGTGCCAAGCGTGATGTGATGTGTGCTGATCCGTCTCCACTCCTTACTGAGGACCAGTGTCTGCTGCCCCCGCAGCACAGGGAGCGTGGGGCGGTGCTCCCATCAGGTCTGGGGGTATCTGGGGGAGATGTCAGAGTCGGGAGACAGAGGGGCCAGTCTCAGGGAATCTGGTCCTTCACCCCAGCTGATGGGGTCCCTGGCGCTGCCCGGGTGTCAGTCCCTCTGCGTTCCACTTGCCCCTGCAGTGGACAGAGGGGGTGGCCCTGTGGACCCTGCTGCTCCTCTTGCCCCATGCTTTGGATCCCCCCCACCCCAAGACATTGTTGGAGACGTTTTCTTGCCCTCTGTTGCCTGACTCTGGCTGTTTGGGCCCTGGTTTCAGGAGAGAAAGAGTGAAGGATCCAATGTATAAAAGGGGGCTCAGAGACAGAGACGCTTCCATGCCTCCGGAAATAACCAGTGCACACTGACAGGGCTCTGTCTCGATTTCCCTCCTGCAAGGGTCCCCATTGTCTGAGATTGGTGGGAGGAGGTCCAAAGTCAAGGGCAGCTATTGTATTTAAGAATACAGATTGGACTCCCTGGTGGTGCAGTGGATAAGAATCTGCCTGCCAGTGCAGCAGATGCAAGAGATGTGGGTTCTATCCCCGGGTCCCCTGAAGTAGGAAATGGCAACCTGCTCCAGTATTCTTGCCTGGAGAATCCCATGGATAGAAGAGCCTGGTGGGCTACAGTCCATGGGGTTGCAGAGAGTTGGACACGACTGAGTGACTAAGCATCCACACACCTACTCAGCCTGCATGCCTAGAGACTGTGCTCCACAACAGGAGAAGCCTCTGCAGTGAGAAGCCTGAGGACTCCAACTAGAGAGAAACCCTTGCTCGCTGCAACTAGAGAAAGCTCACGCACAGTGATGAAGACCCAGCATGGCTAAAAATAAATAAATAATAAATTGAAAAAATTATCCTCTAAATAAATGAATAAATATAGACTCTTGGCTCCCAGTTGAAGAGTTATTATTAAAAACAATAACCTAGGTCAAGCACACGGCACTGTGTGTCAGCTCTGTTCTGAGTCCATTAACTAGTGGAGTTCTGAGAAAATGTTATCCCATCTTACGGATGGGGAAGTTGAGGCACAGAGGGATTTTTTAAGGAAGCTGCCCAGAGTCACATAGGCTAGCGATTGGCAGGGCAGACCAGGCAGCCTGGCTTTGAAGCACTGCCTCTCTGGCACAGGGCTTTCTAGGGAGAGGGATGGATTTGTTTTTTCATTCATGTTCCTCTTGGGGAGTTCTGGAGCTGGACTGCCTGCCTGGGGTTCTGGTGTTCTCTTTGGGTGAGGCAGGCCTCAGCTGCACCTCTGGGAGTCTCTTAGACTCCAGCAGGCCCTGCCCACTCTCCTCTGGGCATCTCTGGGCCTCTGTGGTTGCTGCCTGCATCCTACTTTTCCTTCCCCTGCTCCCAGGTTGTGTTCACTTTCTCTAGCTGTGAGCATCTGAACCCTACCAGGAGTTGTCCTGGGCTCTGCCTACCCCAGGCTGCCTTGGATCAGAACCCAGTGACCAGGGAAAGGCGAATCTCCCATCAGACTCCAGCCTGCGGCCTGTGTCCATGGTTCCCTCGGTCCCCAGGGGCTGTGGGTATGACATCACTGGCCCCCTGTGAGCTGCCATTTATGACCCAGTAAATCACTCAATGACCCCCACCTGGACCTTAAAGAGGGCCGGAGCCCACTATGACACCCCAATTAACCACACCGTCTGTTTCCCTTTTGTGGTGAGCAAGAGCCCAGAGTGGGGATGCTGTGGGGTGGGCTCTGGGCTGGTTTTCTTCCCTGGAAAATGACTTACCACCCACCCGGACCTCTGCCATGCCCAGGATGTCTCCCCTCCCTCACAGGGGAACCTGGGAGCCCTCTGAAGGGCACAGTTTTCTGTCTCATAGTAGCTGGCTTCTGCAGCAGGCTGGTTGTGGGTTCAGCAGTGACTCAGAGGGGATGCGGGGCACCCCGTTGTGTAGGAACTTCCTGGAGATTGGGGAGGCCATAGGTCAACATCAGCAAAAGTTTCTGAGTACAGCAATGGGCAGGAGGAGGATGGGAAAAGGGAAGCCAGTGGTTGGTGAGGTCATTCTGGGCAACCCTCATATTCTTTCATTGATCCATGGGTTTATGGAACACTTCCTGAGGGCCTGGCACTGACTGGACACGGAGACGAGTGAGGGAGGGCTTTTGGGGAGCTTAGAGGTCAAGGATCTTCCTGGAGGGTGTGGACTTTACTGTAGTTCAAGGAGTAAGCCCATTTCAACTCCAGCTCTTTCCTGAGGTCAGAACCCTGGTGAGCGTGAGAGTACATGTGAACGCTGGAGGGCGGAGTTGGGGATGTAAATTGGAGAAGGATTAAGCTGAGATAGGAATCAGAAGCATTAGGAATAAACGGTAAAACGGGTCTGTGATCAAATTCTGAGTTGAGGTAATCAGAGGGTAGTCTCTGGAACCTGTGAAGAGGCTTGGGGCCCGAGAACCTCCTGGGGAGTTCATGACTGGACGGATCCCACTCTGGCTTAATCGGAAGGCATCGTCATTCATGTCTCTCCCAATTATGTGGCAATTATACAGCACGCACATTGTCAGTGTCTATTTCTGTACTATAGCAGGCATCACTAGTTGATCACAGTGCTCTTTCCTTCTAAGTCCAGAAGCAGCCTCATGCACTGGTCCAGGTAATCACTACTAAATGAGCAGAGTTGATGGATGAAATGAAAATCAATTTACCATCCTGAACTGGGATGCAGACATGCACAAGGGTCTAAGGAAACTCCAAGAAGAAAAACTCATAGAAGGGAAGAGACAGTTGGGAGACAATCTTGGCCAAGTGACAGTGCTTCACTGTTGAAGGGCAAGTAAGGGCAGTTCTAAGCTGAGTTCTAATCCAGTGATCGTCACTGGATACGCTCTGGTCCAGCTCTCTGGTAGACACATATCTCAGTCTGAGAGACAGAGCAGGAGTGAGAGCTGGCAGCAGAATACAAAGAGCTATCCATCAGGATTCCATTGCAGAGAACAGAATCCACTCTGGTGAACTCAAAATGGAAGGGGTTAACAAAACAGCTATAGAACTATTGGGAGGGCAAAGGCATAGATTCAGAGTTGAGCTTTCAGGAGCAATTCTCAAAGCCACATTGTAGAACTGGGCCACCAAGGGAGCTGTTGCCTCTTTGGTAATCATGAGAGCACCAACTCCAGAACCACAGACAGTACCATGATCTGAAAACTGCTGCTGCTGCTGCCAGCTCCACACTGCACCTGCTGTGATCCACATAGGAGATGGATGCCCTAGAGCTACTAGAGTTCTTGACCCCCTCTGCCAGCATAGAAGCAAAACAACAACAACACAAATTGCAGCCTCCACCCCGAATCCCAGAATGCATCAGGAGCTGCAGAAACATAGACTTGCAAATTTCACACAAGTGCGACTGATTGTCTGAGTCAGGATTACATCCTGAATCCTAACAACAGGCAACACTGAGAAATGTGGTTTTTTTCGCTGTTGTTGTTGCTGTTGTTTTTAACTCTTCCTGTCTCAGAAGGCACCGAGCAGAAGGTGGAGTGGACATTGAGAGCCTGTTCACCATTTCCACTGCACACTGTCTCCTAAACTTCTGTGAGATGTTAGGCACAAGCAGGGCTGTTTGGAGATTCTCTTCTAGGGGAACGGGACGGGGAGATGCCTTCTATTCTCTTTAGCACAGACCACTGTTTAGCTTTGGCACCTAAAGCGCTTAGGCATATCAATGTACCATTTACAGGTGATCCAGGGCAGTGTCGGTTTTGGCGCCAGGTCATTGCACCTGGTGAGAACTCTAGGTACATCCCCATAGGTCAGTCTGGGATTGGTTGGTGGGACTTTGGAAGCAGCAGAGACCAGCACATACTGGTTGTTAGGGTTTAGGTGATTTTATTTAACTCCTGGCTGGATCCATCTTTGGAAACACTTCTGTGAGCACCTACTATATGCCAGGCACTGTGCTGGGTGCTGGGAATATGGACAGGAATGGAATCTTTTGTGATACCTTGTCTAGACAAAGAAGAGACGTGGACAGCAGATAAAAGGATGCGTGTGGTGCCTCGAGGGTGTACAAAGAACAGACCCAGGAGAGCGAGGGGTCTTCCTAGGAGAGGTGACATTTGAGATGAGCCCCCAAAGGCTCGAAGATGCTGAGAGGAGGTCTGGGAGAGACAAAGGTAAGAGTGAGAAAGGCAGAAAGGAACGTGGGTGGGGCAGGAGATGGGAACTGGGTTTTTTCAAGATCCAAGACTCATCCTCATCTAGGCCAGGCTGCCATTCCTGCGCTGGACACCTGTGCCTGGCCAGTCCCGCAGTGCGTTCCCCGCTGTCCTCTGGCTGTGGTGAAGGGCTGACTGCCTCTGCTCACACAGGCTCCCGGGAGTGACTCACGGATGAGGCGGGGCTGGGGGAGTCGCGGGCTGCTGCCCAGGCCCTAGGCACTGTGGTGGCCTCTCCTCCCAGAGAGGGAGCTGCAGCAGAACTAGCCTATGTGGGCAGGGCGGTCTCCATCTCCCCGCTCTGAGTCTCCAGGCAACAGAGGGAGTCACGGAACCCCCCGCCCCCTCCTGTAGCCCTCCTGCACTCTGCTTTCTCCTCGAGGCAGGGGCCCCTCCCTCCCGGCATGCCGCTCCATCTTGATGCCAGGCCTCTCGGCCTGGGTGGCTAAGGGTACCCATGGTGGGGTCATTACAGGACACGGCAGCCCGAGGGGCAGGATGGAGGAGGCCCAGCAGTCAGCTGGAACCCATCAGAGGCCAAGGCAAGCCCTGGCAGCCGGCAGGAGGGGGAGGGCGGCCCATGAGAAAGGTGGCCCTGCGAACTTTCTTAACCCTTCCCCATCCCATCACCAGGGTGTGTCCTGAGATTGTTCCACCATGACAGGTAGCTCCAGGTCCCTGGATCTTCAACCCAGGTTGGTGGGAGTCGGGGAGAGACCCTGCCCTTGCCTCGGGAGCTCTTAGTCTGAAGAGAAAGAAACAACAGAGTCCTTGTTTGCAGGGAGATCTTAGTCATACGGGGAAGATGCAGCTCAGCCCCAGCTCACTGTCCTGCCTCAGGCAGACCCGGTTGGAGGGGACACATCCCTGCCTCAGGGAGCCCCAGTCTGAGAGGGGACACATCCCTGCCTCAGGGAGCCCCAGTCTGAGAGGGGACACAGCCCTGCCTCAGGGAGCCCCAGTCTGAGAGGGGACACAGCCCTGCCTCAGGGAGCCCCAGTCTGAGAGGGGACACAGCCCTGCCTCAGGGAGCCCCAGTCTGAGAGGGGACACAGCCCTGCCTCAGGGAGCCCCAGTCTGAGAGGGGACACAGCCCTGCCTCAGGGAGCCCCAGTCTGAGAGGGGACACAGCCCTGCCTCAGGGAGCCCCAGTCTGAGAGGGGACACAGCCCTGCCTCAGGGAGCCCCAGTCTGAGAGGGGACACAGCCCTGCCTCAGGGAGCCCCAGTCTGAGAGGGGACACAGCCCTGCCTCAGGGAGCCCCAGTCTGAGAGGGGACACAGCCCTGCCTCAGGGAGCCCCAGTCTGAGAGGGGACACAGCCCTGCCTCAGGGAGCCCCAGTCTGAGAGGGGACACAGCCCTGCCTCAGGGAGCCCCAGTCTGAGAGGGGACACAGCCCTGCCTCAGGGAGCCCCAGTCTGAGAGGGGACACAGCCCTGCCTCAGGGAGCCCCAGTCTGAGAGGGGACACAGCCCTGCCTCAGGGAGCCCCAGTCTGAGAGGGGACACAGCCCTGCCTCAGGGAGCCCCAGTCTGAGAGGGGACACAGCCCTGCCTCAGGGAGCCCCAGTCTGAGAGGGGACACAGCCCTGCCTCAGGGAGCCCCAGTCTGAGAGGGGACACAGCCCTGCCTCAGGGAGCCCCAGTCTGAGAGGGGACACAGCCCTGCCTCAGGGAGCCCCAGTCTGAGAGGGGACACAGCCCTGCCTCAGGGAGCCCCAGTCTGAGAGGGGACACAGCCCTGCCTCAGGGAGCCCCAGTCTGAGAGGGGACACAGCCCTGCCTCAGGGAGCCCCAGTCTGAGGGGAGACACAGCCCTGCCTCAGGGAGCCCCAGTCTGAGGGGAGACACAGCCCTGCCCTCAGGGAGCCCCAATCTGAGGGGAGACACAGCCCTGCCTCAGGGAGCCCCAGTCTGAGGGGAGACACAGCCCTGCCTCAGGGAGCCCCAGTCTGAAGGGACACAGCCCTGCCTCAGGGAGCCCCAGGCGAGGGGAGACATAGCCCTGCCTCAGGGAGCCCCAGTCTGAAGGGACACAGCCCTGCCTCAGGAAGCCCCAGGCTGAGGGGAGACACAGCTCCGCCCTCAGGGGGCCCCAGTCTGAGGGGAGACACAGCCCTGTCCTCCTTCGCTCAGGGTCAGAGATGGGAGAGGGAAGTTTTGTCTTGGTTTTAAACTGAGAAATCAATGTAATGGCACCACTTTTGACTTTCTGTGTGATTTTGTGACGAACTAGCAACTTGAACACACGTCCGTGTGCTATAAAAACCCAGGAGTGATGTGCCTGCAGGTCCAGAGGGCTGTCACCAGTGGACAGCTTTGTCTTGGTCACAGCCTCAAGGTCAGCTGTCCCACCCTGGCCGCCTGCTCTTCTGAGACAGACCCCCTCCTCATCTCGAAAACCACTCAGCCCATGGGTTCTTTTCAAGAGCTTGTTCAACTCCTTCTTTGGTATCCACGGAACTTATGTAACTCACAGCTTCCAATTAACAATTAGAGCTGGTGAGCAAGAGCACAGAAGGAGACAAGGCTACGTGCAGCTGGCCCCTCTTCAGCTGTGGGGTTTAGATTTCCCTGATTTATTTTCCACAATTAGCAGCTGGCCTTCTCCCAGTGACTCTCCCAGGGTTCTTGTTGGGGTGGCCGTTGGCCAGGCCCAGGGACCAGCAGAGTGGACTGCAGGCACCGCTGCCCCTGTTGGGATCACCGGAAAGGTCAGGCCTCTTGGTGATTGGACCGCCGGGCATTAATCATCACGCTCTTCATGGGGAGGGAGGGGAGCCAGGCCACACACAGGCCAAGGAAGAAAGGCCCAGGAAGGCCGATGCCTTTGCCAGCCTTTGCTACGCTCCTCGGTTTCTGGCCTCATTCTGACTCCTGAGCCTCAATGTCCACATCTGTTAAATGGGTGTGAACAGTGGGGCTTGGTGGTCCCTAGAGTCTGTTACACTTGGCCTTCACTGTTTTTGCCTGCTTCCCTCCTTACCCTGCTCTGGGACCTCCCCACACCCTGTCATTACCACAGTGGGGGGATTCATCACGACCTTCACCAGAGGCCAGAGTGATCAGCAAACATGCCACTGGTCAGTCTCATGATACTGGGTGAAGGGCTGCGGCCCATCTCTTTTAATCCTGGTCCAGCACTGTGACCCCCAAGGACAGAGTAAACCTATAGACCAATGGGACTTTTGGGCCACAGTCCCTGGAACTCCTCTGAGTCGGCCTCTGGGCCTCACACTAGAGGGACCCCCTGCACAGGGAGGTGAGTACATCCAGGAGGCTTGAGTGTGGCAACTGTCACACTTTTACTAAGCACCTGCTCTGAGCCAGGTCCTGGGTTGGAGAGGGGGGGTGACAGAGATGAGCGGGCAGATGTGGCTCTGCCCCTCATGGTGCTTAGAGGCCTGTCGTGGGCCCTGACATCGATCTGCCAGGTTTAAACCCTGGTCTGCTGCTCCCTTGGGTGAGGCACTTAGCATCTTAGCATCTTACGCCTTGATTTCTCCCTCTGTGAAATGGGTGTGCTAACAGTACCACAACCATGAGCTGTGATGAGGAGTAAATGAGCCTATGAATGTAAAGTGTTTAACATTCAGGGTGTAGTCATTACAGCTTTTATGTCATGAGCACCAGCTCTGCTCCAGGAACTGTCTGTGGCATTTGGTGTAAACCAGAGCCCTTCTAGGGAGGAAGAGAGATCACTTCCAGCTTCGCTGAGGAAAGAGTCTTCATGGGAGAGTTGATGTCACAGTTTGGTCTAGAAGGATGGAGCTAGGGACTTCCCTGGTGGTCTGATGGCTAAGACTCCAAGCTCCCAATGCGGGGTCCCTGGGTTTGATCCCTAGTCAGAGAACTAGATCCCACATGCTGCAACTAGAGATCCCTTGTGCCACAACTAACACCCAGCGCAGCCAAAAAAAAAAGATGGAGCTAAATATGATAGGGAGCAACAGAGAAGGGCATTCCAGCGGGGAGGAACAACATGACAAAGGTATGGAGGTAGGAAAGCAAAAAAAAAAAAAAATGCATTGGTGGAACTCTGAAAGGACCAGAGGCACTCAATTATATGGGCGAAGAAAGTTAGAAAGTGGGCTTAAGCCAGGTGAACGACCAGACCTTAGAATGTGGCTTTTCTCCTCTAGGCAATGGTGAGTCACAGAGGGTTGTAGAGGGAGGGCATCTTGCAGGGAGATGAAGTTGCTGTACTTAAACAGTACAGTAGGGTCAGCTTCTCTAGATGATGACAACAATGAGAATGTTAAGAATGTTAATGAGAACCCTTTAGTAGATTGTAAAGTCCATTGAGCATCTTCGCGTGTCCACCTTGTCTGATCATCATGGGCCCTGAGAGGCGGTTTGAGCTGAGATGATCACCTCACTTTAAAGACAAAGGAGGGGTTATGACTTCACCTTTCAATGCAGGAGATGAGGGGTCCGTCCCTGGTAGGGGAGCTAGGATCCCACATACCTTGCAGTCAAAAAAACCAAAACTTAAAAGCAATAGGGGACTTGCCTGGTGGTCCAGTGGCTAAGACTCTGTGCTCCCAATGCAGGGTACCTGGGTTTGATCCTTGGGTCAGGGAACTAGATCCCACATGCTGCAATTGAGACCTGGCGCAGTCAAATAAATAAAAACAATAAATATTATTAAAAGAACAGAAGCAATATAGTAACAAATTCAATAAAGGCTTTAAAAATGGCCCACACTAAAATAAGTAAATAAATAAATAAAGGTAGAAAGAGGAAGCTGAGCCAAAGCTATCCAGGGGGTGATGGCAGAACCATGGGGAGTCTTAAGTCCCCATCCTGCGCTTGGGAACCAAATCGTCTTCTTGAGCCCCATCCTCAAGTTCTCTCTTGTCAGGTGGCCTCTGCCTTGTCTTTAGGGCTTGGCAGGTCTGTGAGCGTGTGTCTGTTACAGATGAGGGTGTTGGTGCAAGGATCCCTCACGCCGCTCC